GTAATTTTATTTAGCTCTTTTCACATTATCACTACAATCCTTATTTACATTTACTTTTTTCTTTATAATAATTTTTTTTCTTTTATGCATAGGATGCTGTGTTTATGTAATTCTACAATACTTGCAGTGTAATACTAGAGGAAGGTAGTAGAGTAATATGGCCTCTTTCCAGTCATGCTAGGCAAAACTGTCCACTAATCAACATCATTGGCAACATTAGTGGCCAATAAAGCCACTGGAATCTTAAAATTATTTTTCTTTGAGATTTCTTATTATAAGCTATATAGGATATATAAAGGACTCAGATTTGCATGGTAGTCTTTCTTTTTCATGTTAAAAAGAAATCAAACCTATACAATTTTCTAGATTAGTCTGGTACCTCAGCAATGGAGCAAGTGATTTCCTTCTATCACTAAGCACAGTGTACGTAGTGAAGAGAAATAACATTTATTTGCCCCCTACTGAGTGTCAACAACCAATATGAACATTATCTAATTTAATCCTGTGTGGTAGGTATTACTAATCTTATGAAAACTCAGGATGGCTAATACTGTCAATACAACCCACAAAAGTACCAGTCACCAATTAGGTGACATTAATAGGAAAATACCTCAAAGCTTACACTGTATTTCTGCTGAGTCAGTAACCCTCATAGTAACCAATCAATATTCAGAAACCAAAACATGGCTAGGTTTCATGTTTTGTTAAGGTTGTTTAAAAGCCATCATGGGTTCTTATTCCGATTTCTTCCTTCCAACCTATTTCTGCTGTCTTTTGGTTTTCATAGTGAAATTCTTAAGTTTATATACTAAAAGGGTAACTTCTAATAGACTTTGTCCCTGGCCAACATTCCTTGAGAAACATTATGGCTGGCTTAATCAAGGTCTTGTTAAAAAAAAAAAGAGTTTAGAAGAAAACCAGTTAGAATGTACTATTATTAAATATGTAACTATAGGACCCAGAAGCTATTGCTTTTAAAATAAATCAGGGGCGCCTGGGTGGCTCAGTTGGCTAAACGTCCGACTTCGGCTCAGGTCACGATCTCACAGCCCGTGAGTTCGAGCCCCGCGTCAGGCTCTGGGCTGATGGCTCAGAGCCTGGAGCCTGCTTCCGATTCTGTGTCTCCCTCTCTCTCTGCCCCTCCCCCATTCATGTTCTGTCTCTCTCTGTCTCAAAAATAAATAAACGTTAAAAAAAAAATTTAAAATAAATCAGACACAGAGCACCTGGGTAGCTTACCTGGTTAAGCGTCTGACACCTGATTTTGGCTTAGGTCATGATCTCATGGTTCGTGGGTTGGAGCCCAATGTCGACAGCATGGTGCCTGCTTGGGATTCTCTCTTCAGTTCTCTCTGCCCCTCCCCCACTTGTGCATGTGCGCTCTCTCTCTCAAAATAAATAAACTTTACAATAAATCAGATTCAACAGTGTTAAAAAAAATCCACCATGCTTTCAAGAATTTATCCCACATATATACTTGAATGTGAAGTAACCTATTTACAAAAATAATGCAGCATCTTTACAGTAGTAAAAAACTGCAAAGAATCTAGAAGTTCATCAAAAGGTGAATGACTACATTAGCGTTGATATATTCATTTAATGGAATACTACACAGCTGTTCAAATGAATGAGGCAGCTCTTATCTATGTAGCTCTAAAATATATTATTGAGGGAAAAAAACCAAAGCACAGAATAGTGTATTTAGTATAATTTATGAACAGAAAAGGGAAAGATAAATGTATACCCACATATATACTTGGATTATGCATTGAATATTTCTGTACTTTAGACAAGGAGACAAAAATGGGCTTTAGGTGGGTAGGAGATAAGTGAGTACAGTTTCTTTTCACTATATAGCTCTTCGCTCAAAAAAAAAATCTCAAAATAAATCTATGTGTTTGTATTTTTTTCTTCCTGGAATATTAAAAACAAAAAACAACAACAGAAAAACACCCTCTTTTCAAGAGCGTTTAGGGGCGCCTGGGTGGCTCAGTTGGTTGAGCGTCCGACTTCGGCTCAGGTCATCATCTCGCAGTGTGTGAGTTCGAGCCCCACGTCGGGCTCTGTGCTGACAGCTCAGAGCTGGAGCCTGCTTCAGATTCTGTGTCTCCCCCTCTCTCTGCCCCTTCTCTGCTCATGCTCTGTCTCTGTCTCAAAGATAAATAAAAACATTTTTAAAAAATTAAAAAAAAAAAGAGTGTTTATGTGTGAGAGAAGTAAGGGGCTTTGGTTTTCATTTAATGTCATTTCACTAATTTTCTGACAAGTATCTATTACTTTTATATGAAATATGATTTAACTGGTAGCAGGATAGAGTTTTTGCACCTGCCCTTCTTTATGCTTTCATGCAATTAAACAAAAAAAAAAGCCAAAACCTTTTATTTTTTTGAAAAAGCTGTTGCTGGCCATCCTTCTCTGTTGTTTAGAAAACATTACCAGGGTCATGATCTGCAAAGGCCAATTCTCTCCTAAGGTTTATTTTATTCAGATTGTGTCTTTCCTGGAAAGTTTTTGAATCCAGCTTTATTGGTTTAAAATGTAAGGTCTTTTGCCCTGTAATTCCACCCATGTGTCCTTTCCTCAAGTTCTAGTAAAATGCTCTGAAAGGCCTGAGCCTTTCACAAATTATCACACACTTCTTAAGGGCACAATTTCCTGGGCCTGGACTGTTCATTAAGAGGAGACAAAAAAGTGCTTTATTCTCTTAGGGTGAGAGAGGTGAATAACATAAAGAAATGGCATACAGAGGTGATGATCAGCTTCAAATTGTGACTATTCAAACACAAAGCCATGCTTCAAAAGTACAGAAGCACTTTTGCTTGTGAGAAGTGAGAAATTGGTGAGAAATTATTGCTATAAGTAATCTACCAGATCTCTCCAAAGCCTTATGACCACTTCATTTGTTTACGTGACCCCTGATTTTAAGGAGTTGTTGAGGTTAATTTACAGAATCAATAGGCCAGTTTATCCAAAATGGATGACAAAATAGAGGTGAACACATTATTGAATTAATTTAATTTTAGGTCTTTCAGTTCTATCATGTGTTCTAGCTCTTACAACTTTTATACATTCTTTCTTCATATGACATTTAAAAAAATGCATTAAATTTTGTCTTCATGCCCAATTAATTTACTTATTACAAAAAAAATTTTTTTTAATGTTTATTTTTGAGAGGCAGAGCACAAGTGGGAGAAAGAGAGAGGGACACATAATCCAAAGCAAGCTCTGAGCTGTCAGCAGAGCTGGACATGGGGCTTGAGCTCACAAACCGTGAGATCATGACTTGAGCCAAAGTCAGATGCTTAACTGACAGAGCCACCCAGGTGCCCCTTTACTTACTTACCTTTGAAGTAAGCTCCATGCCTAGTGTGGAGCCCAACGCAGGGCTTAAACTCAGGAGCCTGAGATCAAGGCCTGAGCTGAGATCAAGAGTCGGATGCTTAACCAACTGAGCCACCCAGGTGCCCCGTAATTGCACTTCTAAAGACAAGTGTGCCTTGTTTGTTTTCTTTTCTGGCTTATGTATCAAATGGAGTGAAGGTAAAGATAAAAGAAGCCAAAAGGGAGGAGCAAGATTATGTTCCTTCCACCTGGAGACCTGCTGGTCTCCCTCTACTACCCTTTCTCAGCAGTTTTGTTTTGTTTTTTTTTTTTCATTTTTTTTTTCAACGTTTTATTTATTTTTGGGACAGAGAGAGACAGAGCATGAACGGGGGAGGGGCAGAGAGAGAGGGAGACACAGAATCGGAAACAGGCTCCAGGCTCTGAGCCATCAGCCCAGAGCCTGACGCGGGGCTCCAACTCCCGGACCGCGAGATCGTGACCTGGCTGAAGTCGGACGCTTAACCAACTGCGCCACCCAGGCGGCCCTTTCAGCAGTTTTTAACTCAAGGAGCAGCTGGTAAAGAAATATTTGCAGAGTTCCAGATCCAGTGTCATAAGCAGAGTATAGAAGGGTGTGTTTGGAACTGAGAATAATTTAATAACTGGTATACATTCACACTTCTTATATATAAAATTAAAATAATTCATATGAAATTTTTATGCATCTGATTAAGAAGTTCTTTTTAAAAAATGTTTATTTATTTATAGACAGACAGAATCCCAAGCAGGCTCCACATTGCCAGTGCAGAGCCCAGACTCACAAATCATGGGATCATGACCTGAGCTGAAATCAAAAGTTGGGACACTTAACCAACTAAGCCACCACCCAGGAGCCCGTAATTGGTAACAGTTCCAAAAGCACTTTGCACTTGCTTGCTTTTTTTCTCTTTTCTATATATAAAATACAAGATGATACAGTTTTATTTAATAGATCCAACTAGGTATTTGAGCACCCATGAAGAACACTAGATTAGGCCCTGAGAGATTTATATTATCTATTATGTACAATGAATTAAGTATAAGAATGGAAAGTGAGGTCTCTGGTCCTTATGAATTTTGGAAAAAAAGACTAATTTTTTTGAATAGCACTGTTTCTAGTAAGAAGCTTAGACTGAGGACATTCCCACTAGCATACATTTCTGTGGCACTTAGCAGTTATGAAATGTAAATTATTCCTTATCTGCTATAAGGTAATACATCAAGGGAAGATTTATTACCTCTTCATTCCATCACGAAAATGATTGTTCTAATTTCACCCAAAGGCATTAAACTGTTAACACTATTTTTGCAACCTATTTAACAGATAATGTTAAAATCAAATTATCTACAGTGCATGAACTAACCTTTAAGATTTAAAATATGTAAGTGTTTAATAGTCTAATGTAGGGATGTTTAAAAATATATTCTACAGTAGACTGATTCATTATCACAAGATGGATTTTCCTATCCTGTTTATGAGAAGAGAATTATGCTTTATTTTGTAACATTTTCCATCTTTACTGCTTTTCTCTGGTTAAAAAAGAAATCACAGTACTAAACTGGGACACGTGCAAGTTTGTTTTCTGAACAGAAATGAAATGTTAGCTGGAAATTAGAGTCTGAGTCGTCTTCATTTGAATATATATTTTATTTAGAATGCAGCACTAACAGCATGATGATAAACTGTCACAAATTTATACCAAGAAGCACACAATCTTTCAAATGTGTTGTTTTTTCGCAAGTAATTTAAGTATAGCATTATTGTTATTTGGTTACGAGAGTCAAAGACGACATTTAGATTCTTCAGCTCTGGAGCTTTTAGTAACATCAAAATGATTGTCTAGTCAGGCAGAAGAGAGAAATTCAAAAGCAGTTTCTTTTTCTTCTGCCAGTTCCTTTGCAGTTAGATCCATCTTCTCACGAGAGAAATCATTAATAGTGAGACCTTCAACAACCTTCCAGGTCTTGTTCTGTTTGAAAATAATTGCAAATAAAAGATTTACAATTAAATGAGAACTGATCTTCCAGCAAGCAACAACTCAGATTGAACTTTACGCTACAGGAGTATCTGTTTTTAAAGTCTGATTCTAAAGAAGCAAATCAAAATCCAGATCTTAACTAACATATAATTCTGGTAAAAATTCAACACTTGGATTTAAAACTCATTGAATCTAGAAAAAAAATCTTTAAATGAGGATTTAATTAGCAAACGTTAAAAAAAAAAACTAATGACTTTCATATGGTCATAATAAAAATAAGATACTATTGGTAGGTATCCAATATTAGAGGCATAATAACAAAGTACATCTAGTGACAAGAGGTGAATCTTGCTTTCCAGATTAATTTTAATCTTTTAGTACCCTGACGTTGTGCTTCATACAATTTTAAAGTTGAGAAAAATGTCTAACTTAGAAAAAGAACAACTTTCTAGACTAACATACCAATATTAATAAAAATATGTAACTACTCTCCCAGAAGGGAACAGAGAGAAATAACCCTAAAATACGATACCTTGATTGTAACAGGGAATGAGTACAGCAGATCATCAGGAATACCATAGGGGTTGCCATCAGAGATAATGCCCATGGACACAAATTCTCCCTAAAAACAATAATCAACGTTGTATATTCTCATGGTGCTTAGGAATTAGTTCACACAAGCAAATGAACATGAATTAACAAAACTAAACCAGGTAATGCTTTCTTACTATGTGCCTGACTTCAATACTGTATAAGGAAGCATCACCAGGCACTTCCATGACAGGTTAACTTCCATGTGTTATTATCTCATTCCACTCCTCCAATCCTTGTGAGAAGCAGTCCAGAGAAACTGAATTCTCATTTTCTAAATGAGGAAGCTATGGCCTTAATATACGTTTTAGGAAAAAAGTCACAGTCGCCAGGTGTGCTAGGTGTTTTCCATATATCATCTCATCTAACCCTTAACAACCCTGTGAGAAATGCCATGTAAAAGATAATCAAATGGTTCACAAAGTTTAAGTAACTTTCCCAAGATTTTTCAGCCAGTAGGCAGCTGAGCTGGGATATAAACCTAACCTTCCTGACTGCAAGGTTATGTTCTTTTCACAGCACAACATCAGAGGCCAAAAATGAAAGAGCGGCCTGTACAGATCATGGAGTCCTCACCTCTGGGGTTCCAAACCAGATGTCTCTGACATGGTCACAGATGGCTTTTGCAGCAGACATTGCGCTGGACAGCTTTCGAGCCTTGATGACAGCAGCACCACGCTGCTGCACAGTCTGGTTGGGGACAGGCAGAGACAGTATTACTTGATCATGAGAGCAGAGTTTTTATCAATTCTGAGCTAATCCTGGGATGAAAGACTGCAATCATAGTTTAATGTCTTCCCCTCCAAAATCATTCAACTACCTGGTGTGGGCCTTACCAATCTATCTGAATTATAAGCACCAGTCTTTCTGAAAAAAGGAAACTACAAATCCACACAGAGTTTACTACATTCCATATAAAGAAATGGATCTTGTTATAAAGATGAACTGGATGACTGGAGGGAACTTTAGTTTTTTCTCATTTTAGCAATCAATCTTGACTGCCACACAACAGATGAGATCTGACTGGATCAAGATTGGCTGTGTATGACCTGCAAAGACAGTATGTAGTCACCAGAGCAACTGTGAAAGGCCTGCTCTCCTTGAGAACCACTCCACCCCCATCCCTTGGAGAGACACTCAGATCAGCAATGTGGTGTGTTTCTCTACAGTTCTTTATGCATGGCTGTTAAGAGATTTTTCTTACTGTGATGAATTCTCCTTTGAGCCAGCTGTCATCTTTCAGAGCATCGTAAACACCAACTTCCTTTCCATGCAGTTTCACCTTGGCATGGCTGACATCTGGATACTGAGTTGAGGAATGGTTTCCCCAGATAATGACATTCTTTACATCATCAGAAGTCACACCAAGTTTAAGAGCAATCTAGTGAAATAGAAAACAAACACATTACTTAGACAAATGCTTTTTATTTCAAATTGTGCCTGACAAACCCTTAAAATAAAAAGCCTCTGAAACTTCAAGAAAACACACAAGTTATATTGATTTGTAAAATAATATAGTGTTAATTATTATTATAATAATTTACTGCTTGGTTATTTCCTAAAGCTCAACTGTATAAACAAAATGTGAACCCAAAAGATTACAAAGTAGACTATTTGAGAGCAAAGAGCACCTCAGTTTGTGCCTGACTTATCAGTATAGTGGGTTTATCAAATATAAAACACCAGCAAGAGATTAATATGGTTTGAATATATAAATGTGACCTTTGCTTTGTTGTTAATACTTAGAGATGTCTCCTCAGCACTTCTGAGAATCAGGTTAGAATATGGGATTTTCTCCACATTTAGGGGAAATTTTTATTATATATCATAAAAATGAATTAGCTAAATTTCAAATAATCCTATGAAATTTTGGAGTGGGAAGGGATTCAGATTACCAAAAGTATGACTGTCCTCAGTTTATAGAACAGGGAACCAAAGGAAAGACTCTAAATGTCTCTAAAATGATACCAAAACTAACAATTTCTCATTGTAGGTTCAAAAAGCACTTGAGGGGACATCTCGCTGGCTCGGTTGGGGGAGCATGCGACTCTTATCTTGGGGTCATGAGTAGGCGCTCCATGCTGAATGTAGAGATTACTTAAAAAAAACCAAAAAACTTAAAAAAAAAAGTACTCTAGGATCCTGCATGCCTTATAGTCACATGACTATCAATTATACTATGTAGCCACACAAAGGGTTAGAAAGTTATGTTTGGGGCACCTGGGTGGCTCAATCAGTTAGCATCCAACCTCAGCTCAGATCATGATCTCACAGTTCATGGGTTCAAGCCCCACGTTGGGCTCTGCACTGACAGTGCAGAGCCTGCTTGGGATTCTCTCTCTCCTTCTCTCTCTGCCCCTCCCCGGCTTGCACTTTCTCTCTCTCAAAATAAATAAATAAATAAATAAATAAATAAATAAATAAATAAATAAACAAACTTGGAAAAAAAAAGTTATGTTTTGAAAGATTTAAATAAACAAAATCAGTTCACTTATTTTGTTATTGCCTGATAAGATAATTTGCAAAAAGAAATTATGGTTAGTTACATGTATAATTTGTTCTTAATTAAGACAGCAGAATTATGATGGACCAGAAGGGAATGTTTTGGGAAAAAATTTTTAAGAACTGAATGTGTTAGGGTAACACTGTGGGTGATTTCTCTTTCGTTCATATTGCCAGTAGAATGGGAGAGAAAAATAGCTGTGCCAGAGTTCACAGCTTTTGCATACATCAATAAAAGCACTCCATCCAAAGGATATACACTCTGATAATTTAAGAAGATTTAAAAACAATAAGGATAGCCCCAAATTGGAAACAACCCCAAAGTCCTTCAAGAATGGTTAGAAATGGTGGTCCTTCCGTATAATGAAATAAATGGGAATAACTGCACAAATAATAAAAAGGAGTAAACTATTGATACAGGCAACAACTTGGATGGGTCTTAAAGGCATTAAACAGTAGAAAAAAGTACAGGGATTCTCTGTACTATTTTTCTAACTTCTTAGTCTATATTCCAAAATAAAGAGTAAAAAGCAATAGACCAACCGACCGACCGACCGACCGACCGACCGACCAACCAACCAACCAACCAACCAACCAAAAAGGACACTAATGGACAAGGCCAATACCTAAAATGCTTGCAATGACTTGATTCATCTTTACCCTAATTTATTCCAGCAAATAAAAATCAAATTGTTCACTATAACCCTTAAAATTGAGACTTGTTTCTTAAATCCTACAATAGTTAGGGACGCATGGATGGCTCAGTCGGTTGGGTGTCTGATTTTGGCTCAGGTTGTGATCTCTCATGGCTCAGGCTTTGCACTGACAGTGCTGAGCCTGCTTTGGACTGTCTCCCTTCCTCCCTGTCCCTCCCCCACTAGTGCTCTGTGTCTCAAAAATAAACATTAAAAAAATTAAATCCTACAGTAATTGGAGGATTTTTTTTTAATATGAAATTTATTGTCAAATTGGTTTCCATACAACACCCAGTGCTCATCCCAACGGGTACCCACCCCAATGCCCATCACCCACTTTCCCCTCCCTACCACCCCCCATCAACTCTGAATTTATTCTCAGTTTTTAAGAGTCTCTTATGGTTTGCCTCCCTCCCTCTCTGTAACTTTTTTTTCCCCCTTGTCCTCCCCCATGTTCTTCTGTTAAGTTTCTCAGGATCCACATAAGAGTGAAAACATATGGTATCTGTCTTTCTCTGTATGACTTATTTCACTTAGCATAACACTTTCCAGTTCCATCCACGTTGCTACAAAAGGCCATGTTTCATTCTTTCTCATTGCCAAGTAGTATTCCATTGTGTATATAAACCACAATCTCTTTATCCATTCATTAGTTGATGGACATTGAGGCTCTTTCCATAGTTTGGCTTTGTTGAAAGTGCTGCTATAAACACTGGGGTGCAAGTGCCCCTATGCATCAGCACTCCTGTATCCCTTGGGTAAATTCCTAGCAGTGCTATTGCTGGGTCCTAGGGTAGATCTATTTTTAATTTTTTGAGGAACCTCCACACTGTCTTCCAGAGTGGCTGTACCAGTTTGCATTCCCATAATCAGATGATTTTTAAAAATTAACTTACAATTTTGTTTCTGACATTTAAATCACTTCTCATCTAAACCCTGCTTCATCTAGAGTTCTGCAAGTATTAGGACTATTAAAGCACATCAGTCTTCACAAAGTAGTTGGATAGCTTGTTTCTAGAGAATCCAGCTACTGATCTGCTTAGTGGTATGAGGTACAATGAGTACCATTTTCTGTGCTATGACCTTCCTGGACTTGGGAAGAATTGCTCTTACTTGTATTTAGTAGTTATCATAGAGAAAAGGGAAAATTTACCCAGGGCAAGCAGCCTAAGATGTCTGTTACCAAGAACTAAGAACCTATACCTTTGCTGAATGCCAGCCTTAACTGCTCCAGGGTACGGTGAAGACAAACTGCTTCCAGGCCTCTCCTCCCTCCAGGAAGCTCCTTCCTTCTTTTGTCCTTTGCCTACTTCCTCTTTTTTTTTTTTTTTTTTTTTTTAATTTACTGAGTTAATCCATTTCTGTCTGGACAGCAAAGGCCAATACTTTGCAGATGTAGCTTCTAAATTTCATTCGTGTCAGAGCAAGTCTAAATTCACGTGTATCCAGGATTGCACTTCCTTGCTCCATTACATGCTGTCATGTCTGCCATGTAGACCTGTTAAACAGTTTTGGACTGATTCTCCAGCCCCAGTAAATTTCTTCCCCCTGGTACCAGCTAACTAGTTGTACTGGCAAATTACCCTGTCAGCATACATATGCAGCTCTGGTTTGCAAATACACAGGGGGATTCTGCAGGTGTTAGACAGTCACTAGGTATCTAGGCCCTGATTTCCAAAATGAACTACGTTAAGACTAGCAACATTCATGTATGAAATATCTTTGCATTTGTTATTTTTCTCACTGGATTAACAACTTCTATGGGAGAAAGAAACTGCTTTTTCAAAAACTTCCTACAAGCTCTCACTGTGTCAGACTGACATGCTGGAACATGTGCCAAAAGTTAAAGTCTAACAAGACTGCTTTTTTTCTCTTTCCTCATTAGACTTTTGCCCCTACAGGGAAAAGGGTTTCAGGCACTGGGACAAAGTGTCACTTAATAGTACCTCTGTAAGCAGAATTTTCCAGTGTCTGCCTCCACCAAGGCCTCAGTTCAAACAGCAGAAAACCAAGTTTGTCAGGGTCCTTACCTTTTTCCCTGTTGCATGTAGGTAACCATCTTGCAATCCAGAGCCAAGAAATTCAACAATGTTTCGTAGTACCCAAATGTCTCCACTCATTCAAACTAACTCCCGTTCCTTCCACCCACCAGATTCTAGCTAAAAAGTAAGGAAGAAGACAGCTCACAGCCTAAAGCCTCACAGGAAATATTTGCAATTTAAGCTTGTTATCAGATGGCCTTCTAAATTAATTGAATATTCAAGGAGATGTATATGAGGTATGGCTCTTCTCAACTTTTGGTTATATCCTTCTTACTACTACTAACTACAAATCATTAATAGTAAGAGCAACCCACTTTTATTTAGTTTTACTATGTGACAGGTACCATGATAAGGGCTTAATGTAGATCTTATTTAATCCACATAGCTTCCCTCTGAGATAGACAGAATTATTATCACATTTCATACCTTAAATATACTTTCTCAAGGTCACAGAACTAGTAAGAGTGGACTTAGGTCACCTGACCCTGCTACGTAAGAACACACCTAGGGGTTTGGACTCAGATGAATCTAGGTGGCAGGATCCCTGACCTCTCTGGGCTTCAGGTTTCTTATCTGTAAAATACAGATAATAACATACCTCATATGGTTATTAGAATAATTAAATGATAAATTACATGTAGACCATTCCGCTTAGGGTAGAAGCTTAACAAGTATCAATTCTTTTCTTCCTTGCTAGGTACTCCAAAGCTGAAAGTTGATCAATTCTCAGTTTAAAGCAGTGGTTTTTCAACTTAGACCTCACACCATCTTTTGACAAAAACTTTTCTTGAAACTAAAATTGTTTTTAAAAAAATGTTTATTTATTCATTTTGAGAGAGACAGAGAGAGAATGAACGAGGGTGGGGCAGAGAGAGAGAGAGAGAGAGAGAGAGAGAGAGAGAGAGAGAGAATGAATCCCAAGCAGGTTCTGTGCTGTCAGCACAGACCTGACATGGGACTTGATCTCATCATGAACCATGAGATCATGACTTGAACTGAAATCAAGAGCTGGACACTTAACTGACTGAGCCACTCAGATGCCCCAACAAGGTTGCGTTCTTTAGAAGAAACAGCGGGGAGCCTATGTGGCTCAGTCAGTTGAGTGTCCAACTCTTGATTTTGGCTAAGGTCATCATGATCCCAGGGTCATGGGAATGAGCCTTGTATTGAGCTCTGTGCTGAGTGTGGAGCCTGCTCAAGATTTCTCCCTCCCTCTCCCTTTGCCCCTCTCCCCCACTCATGCTCTCTAACATAAAATAATTTCTAAAAATGAAGAAAAAGGACTAAATTCATACACTACCTAACAGTGATGACCTGTTTATGAGGAGGCATGGTCAGAAAATTTTTAAGGAAATTTTCCTTTTCCTTGTTAAGGAAAAGGAAAGAGGTTATGTCCAAGAACCCTGAACTTTGTCATGGCTTTTGAAGGGCACCAGGATTGTCTAGACCCAATAAAGCCTAGGAGACCAGTACAGATAATTGGCCGTGGCTTCTCATTTTTTTAAAAGGCTACTGTTATTACCCTGGTCACTGACTCCTTGGCACATTTATCTAAGACTCCAAGGGGTAAGGGCACTTGAGAACAATTAAAATTTAGTTGCTAAGAAGTGGTAATTAAGAAGTTTTATGGAAACAATGTAGAATATCAAGAAGACAAAAAAATAAAATTAGATATAAAATTAAAAAATCTGAATCTGATTGCTTAGCTATAGGGAAAAAGGAAACAATCACATAAAACACAAAAAACTGAAATCTTTCTTTCTATAATGTTCTATATATCTCACAAAAATCAACTATGCATTGTCATGTTAATTATCTATACTAATGACTGATTTTTGAACTACTACAGTAAGAGAACATTAGGAACAGCATTTTAAATATAGTTAGCAAATGAAATATAGTGAAGAAAATTTTTTTTCAAAAAATTTTTTTAAGTTTATTTATTCTGAAAGAGAGAACAAGAGAGCATTGAAAGGGCAGAGAGAAAGGGAGAGCGAGAGATCACAAGCAGGCTCTGCGCTCTTAGCGCAGAGCTTGATGCGGGGCTCGAGCTCACAAACCGTGAGATCATGACCCAAGCTGAAACCAAGAGTCAGACACTTAGCTTACTGAGCCACCCAGGCACCCCTATAGTTGAGAAAATTAAGTATGAAGCTCAGCGTCCTTAAGAGACTAGATTTAAAGACTCCCTAATAAATGAGAAAAGCTTCCTACTAAACAAAAACAATAAAATAAAGTAAGTTTCAGCTACTTTAAAAGTGAGAGAAAAAGGTTTTAAAGTTGAACATTCGTAAGATTTTAAAAGGCGTTTTCCTACCTGAGCTTTAGCTCGGTTGTGATCCAAACGAGTCAAGCAACTGAAGTTCTCCTTGGGGATGGACGGTGCCGACTTGCAGGCAGTCAGGCAGTTGGTATTGGCTGGGTTTCCCACCACAATAACCTAGGAGGCATAGCACCGTTATAGACCACATACTGATTAACTAAACTATCTTAGAATAGGACTGACGAATGTGTAACATGTAGTCTTTGTGTCAAGTTTGTGTGAACAAAATAGGCAAAGTTACCACCGCAGTTTCTACTGTATTTCCACCCCATTGTTAGTGTTTGGTACAATTACGCAAAACGTGTCTTTAAGAAAGCTACCAGTATGTACACAAGTTGCTGTCCAGGTGACAGTGTCCAAGACCTGAGGTCCATGTCTTTCTATTTTGTTTTGTGCCAAAACAGAGACAAATCATTTATCTAATTGCCACACACACACACACACACACAAAACCCTAAGTAATCCAAGGCTCTAAGACATCAATTCATTCATAAAATTTTCCTTTTTTTTTTTTCCTTCCTTCCATAAAATTTCCTTCCATAAAAGTAATCCAAGAAAGAAATTCTACTTGAGCAGTTCACTTTAGGACAATGATTTGTCTTTATTAATTGAGAGTATTTTCAATCTTGCCTAATCTTAAGAATTAACTGGGATTTGCTAAATTACAGATTACCAAATCCTACCCATCCATACCTACTGAGAAGGGAGAAGAATCCTTAGAAGAAAGCACTTTAGGCTACTTTTTTTTTTTTTTATTTGGGGAGGTACAGGATACACTGCATTATAATACAGTATAGGAAAATATACAGAAAAATCCACCATGGACTTTTTCATTCAAGTTTTTAAAATCTTGGGGCGCCTGGGTGGCTCAGTCGGTTAAGTGGCCGACTTTGGCTCGGGTCATGATCTCACGGTCCGTGAGTTCGAGCCCCGCATCGGGCTCTGTGCTGACAGCTCGGAGCCTGGAGCCTGTTTCGGATTCTGTGTCTCCCTCTCACTCTGCTCCTCCCCTGTTCATACTCTGTCTCTCTCTGTCTCAAAAATACATAAATGTTAAAAAAAAAAAATTTGGGCGCCTGGGTGGCGCAGTCGGTTGAGTGTCCGACTTCAGCCAGGTCACGATCTCGCGGTCCGTGAGTTCGAGCCCCGCGTCGGGCTCTGGGCTGATGGCTCAGAGCCTGGAGCCTGTTTCAGATTCTGTGTCTCCCTCTCTCTCTGCCCCTCCCCCGTTCATGCTGTGTCTCTCTCTGTCCCAAAAATAAATAAATGTTGAAAAAAAAAAAATTAAAAAAAAAAAAAAATTAAAATCTTTAATAAAATTATATACTTACCAGGAAATAATGCAAACTTACCAAAAAGCTGCAAGAATAGTACAGAGACTACCTCCCACATCCTTTTTACCCAGATTCCCCAACTTGCTCCATCTCTCTCCTCTCTCTCTCTCTACACACACACACACATACACACACACACTATATCCTTAGTCTTTTTTTTTTTCTTTTTTTTGGCCCATTTGAGAGCAAGCTGAAGACATGATACCCCAATGCCCCTAAGTACTCCAGTGTCACTGTGTATTTCCCTAAAAAGGACACTTTTGGCTGAGGGGTTAATTACCGTGGAAGCAGTACCACAACTCCAAGCAGCCTGGAGCAGTCCAAACAACGTTGTAATTTTTTGAGACCTATGGATTTCTCCTCAACTTATTTCTACTGTTTTCTATTAATGACTATAGAAGATAAAAGTAAGCTATTTGAAATGAATTCTACAGAAAGCAAAAATTCAGATATATGTATATTATTATAATAGAACATTGTAATTGGCAACTTTAAAAATCTTAAACATTTTCTCTTACTTTTGTTTAAAGTCAGGATAGGGGGAAAAAAAAAGTCAAGACAGGGAAGAATAACTATCAAAATCAATAAAACCTCTAATCAGTAAGCCTTTTAGCTATGACAACTAAGTTCTAGTTAACTGATATTTAATTGGTAAAAGAGGTCTTACTATAATAATAAGGCAAATTTAGAAATAAAGTACCTTGAACACAAAGAGAAAAGGAAGTTACACCAATTCCATTCCTCAAGAGACAAACATTATCAAAATTCCTCTGAACTGAGAAAATCAGAGCATTTTAGAAGACACACCTCTCATTGCTGAGAATGCAACTTACAGCCATCTCTCTCTACAATCACAAATCCAAATTCTGAACAAATATTTCCACACAGCTAAAAGGCACCAGAAAGTTCTGTGCCTTCTCTAGAAGTCTCTAAATTAATACTGAATTTCCATATTACAGTAATGAGCAAACTATTTTTGAAAACCTCTAAATAAAAATTTCTACATTATAGGGAAAAAAAGTTTTATCAAGCAAAATTCTCTATTTACTGACCACAGCACAGAACTGGGGGGGGGGGGAGGCAAATAATTTTGCCTCCACTTAAATGCTGAAACAAATTTTAAATGCTGATAATGAAAACCCCCATAAAATACTATATGGTCACCTTAACTGACTTCTTGGCATATTTCTCCAAGGCTGCACCCTGGCATTTGAAGATTTTCACATTTGCTTTCAGTAAATCTTTCCTCTCCATGCCATCCCTTCTTGGCATGGAGCCCACAAGAATGGCCACATCCAGGTCTTTGAAGGCAACATCTTCTTTATCTGTTGCGATGACATCTGTGAACATGGCAATAAATATGGAGAGCTACTGAAACACCAAAGTCTGAGGTCTTCTTTTTCACATTGCATCTACCCAGTACTTCTTTCCCTTTGCAGCAAATGTTAACATTTATATATCATAATGTTTAAAGTTTTAGGGGCCTAAGAAGGGAAAGACAATACAGTCAACAAACAGAACATCAGCAGAAATGTAAATTACATTTACTTTGCTTTTCCTATTTCAGTAATTGTTTCAAATCCAAAAACTCTATAGCTGTTTGTTCTATAATCAAAGATTGTACAAGGTATAATAATAAGTTTCAAAGCAACATTTGTTATTCACACTACCACAGCATGAAAGAGAAACTAATTTATCTATTTTTACGTTGTAATTACTTTAAGGTCTAAGATCTGAATCACACATTCAAAATAATGTTTATTGAGGAGTTTTGTGCCAGGAATAACACTATGAATTTTATTTTATTGAATTTAACTTTAATATTTGATACATGAAGACAAAGAGGTTTAAAGAGATTAATTAGCTGCCATCAAAAAGCAGTGAAGCTATAATTCCAGCCTGGGTTGGTCCAGAGGTCAACCACTATTCTACTATGTTAGTCCAATAAACATCCACCACTTGTTTTTTGATTAAAGAACATGTATCATCACTCTCCTTTGTTGATAGTATCAAAAAGGCCACGACTAGTGCTACAGACTAAATGTTTTTGTCCCCCACAAAATTCATATGTTGAGACTGAATCCCCAATGTGATGGTATTAAAAGGTGGGGGTCTTGTGGGAGATGATTAGGTTAGAAGGGTACAGCTGTTATGAATGAGATTAGTGTCCTTATAAAAGAAGCCTCAGAGAGCTCCTTCACCCCTTCCATTTTGCGAGGACACAGGAAGACAGTGGTCTATGAACCAGGAATTGGCTTCTCACCAGAATGTGACCATGCTGGTACCTTAATCTTGGATTTCCTAACCTCCAGAACTCTGAGAATTATTTTTGTTTGTAAGCCACTCAGTCTATGGTATTTTTGTTATAGTAGCCCAGATGGACTAAGACAACCAGGATTCAGCATTGTCACTGGTAAATTTTTACGGTGGTCAACTTGTGTCACAGTAAGGGTGCTGTAAAGACCCCAACAGGTATACAAAGAAACATTACTTAGTCAGGGGGAATCTTCTTCCGTGACATGTATCCTTATTTGCAGAACTTTCCCTCTCTGTTCACAGCTGATCGGGGACAAGCTATTAACTAGACCCATTAGACAGAGCAGAGGAACTCAGCAGAGAAAGGAATAAAAATGCAACAATGCAATAAAGTTGATTTGGAAAAAGAGGGTGAGTTGTGTGTCAACTATACTTCAATTTAAAAAAAGAAAAGAAAAGAAATGAAACGAAACGAAAAGAAAGAAAAGAAAAGAAAAGAAAAGAAAAGAAAAGAAAAGAAAAGAAAAGAGAGCCAGAAGAATAGTTTGCACTCTCTTATACAATATGCACCCACATGATTTAGGCAGCAGAGTATTCCTTCTAGTAAATGTCTATTGAACAGACATATGAATTCTGAGCATGGTTTCTCTTGAGTGTGCATATATTTTGTTCTGTGTGAACTTATAGGAGAATATTAGTTAATCCTTACTAAAAGAAAAAGATCATAAAGTATACGTAAAGAAAAATATTCAAATTAGTTTACAACTTGACCTAACATTTTAATGAAACGTTTGTGAAATTTGATGAAAAGACTTCTGTCTTACATTTGTGCAACAGTTCAACGATTCTCCAAGGCTCTTAGCAGAACTCTCATGGGCTTTCAAACTATGCAGCATACGATTAGGACAATTTATGCTATATCTCAATCTGATAACGGCTGTGGGTTGAGACTCTATGTGAGGGACTAACCAATTTCCAGCCTCACGGCAATATGGCTTTGGAAGACATCACTTAGAGTTCAAAAGTTCTCCATTAAAGGCGCTATTACTTGTTAAATAGATTTTAAATAACAACATAATGTAAACAATCTCAGGTGTATAACTCTTGTGTGATATTATGCTTAGTTAGGTAAATCATATATAAGCACCTTGGAAAAAAGGCATAGTTTTTAACCGACACGAGTTATTTCTTGCTTTTACCCTTATTTATTCTTGATATACATCTTACCAAGTAGTTGTAGCTCAAAATACAAAAACACTTTTATATAAAAAAAATTTTTTTTAATCTTTATTTATTTTTGAGAGAGAGAGAGAGAGACAGATAGACAGGGCGTGAACAGGGGAGGGGCAGAGTGAGAGGGAAACACAGAATCTGAAGTAGGCTCCAGGCTCTGAGCTGTCAGTACAGAGCCCGACGTGGGGCTCGAACTCATAAGCCGCGAGATCATGACCTGAGCCAAAGTCGGACGCTCAACTGACTGAGCCACCCAGGCGCCCCCGAAAACACTTTTATGAAAGAGTTTCTAATTGAGAGGCTGGTTAAAAATCTCTTTTTTGAATGACATAGAATACTATAATATCCTTTTCTCCTCCACCCCAACTCACCTTTCAGGAGGGGAAGGGCACAGTCTTGCAGTTCCATTAGGACACCATCTAGGACACCCATCATGGGAGTGATATCCAACAGCACAAGAATTATAGGCTGCCAAATAAATAGCCAACGACAGCATCTGTCAGTGTAGCTTATGTCACTCAGTCACAAAAAAGTCCTCCTGCAGAGTTTTTGCTTATTTGGTGTATGTATGTGTATAATTCCCATTATTAGTTATAATTATTTTAGGAGGTCAGGTTATCATCCCACTTTCAGAAAAAGGAATGCTAGAAAACCAGCAACAGTGTGCTAATAGACAAAGTAAAAGGAATCACCACTATTGAATTTTAAAGGAGTATACAGGGAAGAAATGCCAAATTGAAGTGACATGCCACAGCTCACTCTTATGGTTCATAGCTGTATATCTGATTTTAGTTCATGAAAAGCTAAGTATAGTGTCTGGCATGAAGGAAGAACTTGATATCCATGGGTGAAGAGAAATAATAGATGAATACTTTAGAAACGGACTTTAGTGTAACCAGACCTGCTGGAATAGGGAGTGCCTGCTTTAAACTGGAACACAGATTTGCCTGTCCAACTATTTTGTATCTAAAGACCACTGGCGAACAAGGAAGTCCTAATTCAGTAGCTTTCTCTCCCACATGACTCTACTAGTTACTGTTACTAGTAAAAACCTTCCACTGACTGACTAATACCTGCTGGCTGTACCCAGTCAACAAGATACAGTATGTGGAATAGTTCTGATCTACAAAGCATTTTCAATGCCTGGAAGAGCACATATTAGTAAGATACCACTTACATTCATAGCAGTGTGCCTACTACATTTATTGGGATAACCCATTCCTTCATCATTTAAACATTTCTTTGAAACTAAATACAGGGTTTATTGACAATGTTCTAATTTTGATTTGAGGTATGTAGAAGACCTACCTGGTCTTTACCAAAGACAGATCCATTTCCAATACTGTACAGCAGTGAATATGCAATTTGACCAGCTGCTCCAGTCACAAGAACTCTGATTGGTTCAGACTGTAATGAAAGAGACTCATTAATTAACATCTTATTTACAAATGCTGTTGTATCCTAAAGATGTTCAGGATGTTCTCTGTAACAAGACAAGCACATACTTTAAAAGTTACTGTAAAATTACAAAATTTTTTTAACATTTACTTATTTTTGAAATGCACAGAGAGATAGAGTGCGAATGGGGGAGAGGCAGAGAGAGAGAGGGAGACACAGAATCTGAAGCAGGCTCCAGGCTCCAAGCTGTCAGCACAGAGCCTGACGCGGGGCTCGAGTTCATGACCGTGAGACCGTGACCTGAGCCGAAGTCGGCTGCCCAACCGACTGAGCCTCCCAGGTGCCCCAAAAGTTACTGTGAAATTTTAAAGTTTCTTACCATTTGGCTTAGTAGAGGACTAACTTATTTCAGACTTGTCCAGTAAATATAGCATGCCCAAATCTGGAACATGTGTCCGTCCTTTGGCTGCGTTATTTCTGTGGTGTTATTTACCTCTGTAAACCTGGATTTACTTACAAAATCGTATCTATCTTTTTAAGGCTATTTTGCCACTGAAATAGGCCTAAGGATGTTGAGGTGCCTTATATGGTGATATAAACTCTCGTAGTCACTAGAGCCTTATGCAGATCTCCCCACTCCCATCTGTTCAATAGAACCCTCACACCAGGAAGAGGAATAATAGTGGCTAAAGTTTTCTATTTACAATGAATCAGAAAATTTTAATGAAACTACTAATCATGATTCAACTTAACTACTTGAAGGAGGAAAATTAAGCCTTTATTTTTTATGTAAGGAGAAAGAAAAACAAGAAAATGACATCTTGATTATAATAAATTTTAGTATTAAATAACAACAAAATAATACAGTGACAGTTGACAACCCGATTCCAAGGGAAAATTAATTTTAAAAGAGAAGTACAGAGAGAATAGTTATAACAGAAGTTGCCTTATAGACCTTAACAGATCCTGAACAAAACACAGACATATGGACAAAAATAATAACTAATATTCAAAATGATGATCCAGAGTCACAAAAAAAAAAAAAAAAAAAAAAAAAAAAAAGCTCAGAGAATTAAAAAGATAGAAATATTTCTTTTAAAAAGAGTTAAACAAAAATGTTTGGAACTTAGTGGATACATTTACTTAGATGGAACCATTTAATCAAGGTGAACTGTTCCTTTCCTTGACAATGCTGGGTAAATGGACTTCTTCTGTATCACCCATATTGTTACCCGCAGGAGAGAAGTGGCCCACTGAAACGAATGGTGAAAGAAGCCTGTGATTTCTTTATATTTAGAATTCTCTCTTCCAGGTGAGTCATGTCTTTGGGATAGAAGGAGACTATGTCCGATGACCTTCCAACCCTAACCTCTGAAGGTCAGCAGCACTTAGCAATTTGGTACCCACAGAAATCAAAGGAAAAAATTCTCAAAGAAGTACCAACTGTTGTAGAGAAACAAGTCTGTACATAGCAGACAATGTATGCTTTCTTCCCAAAGATGTGACCACAGTATGAGTGGAAAAAAGGAGAAAACTATGGAGAGTAACTATGAAGGTTATTCCTTGACCTTCTAGGTCTCTTCCCCATCCTCTTCACCAACTTTTCCCCTAGGCCTTCCCTACCCCTAAAAAGACAGAATACGGTAATTCCCCAAATAAACCAATTTTATTACAATACATACTTCTGTTTCCAAAGAGACTTTAGGTTTATAAAGAATACTAAAACTAATTGTATACGGTTATTTTTTATCATATGGCCTTTACATGTTAATTGTCATTTTCTCCTCTTCCCTTGAAGTAGAGTGGGTGAGGAAAGGGGAATAGAGGAAGAAATTATTCCCCCTTTCTCTTTAGAATGCAATCTTCTTTTTTTTTTTTAATTTCTTAACATTTATTTATTTTTGAGAGACAGAGAGAGGCAGAGCATGAGCAGGGGAGGGGGAGGGAGAGGGAGATTCAGAATCCGAAGCAGGCTCCAGGCTCTGAGCTGTTTGTCAGCACAGAGCCCCACGTGGGGCTTGAACTCATCATGACCTGCAAGACCATGACCTGAGCTGAAGTCGGAAGCTCAACTGACTGAGCTACCCAGACGCCCCTCTTTTTTTTTTTTTTAAATGTTTATTATTTTTGAGAGAGAAAGAGAGAGAGAGAGTGGGGGAGGGGCAGAGAGGGAGACACAGAATCTGAAGCAGGCTCCAAGCTGTCAGCACAAGAGCCTGACGTGGGGCTTGAACTCACAAACTGAGATCATGACCTGAGTGGAAGTCAGAAGCCACCCAGGCGTGCAATCTACTTAAGGCCAGGGGCTTTGTTTTTATTTTATTTTATTCTATTTTATTTACTTTGTATTCCAACCGCCTACAACAATGCCTGGCATGTAGCTGGAGCTCAAATACTTGCTGAAGGAATAGCTGGGTCTTGTAAAATGACTACTGAAAACCTGGAAATGTAAAAGAATTGTTTGGAAGCAAACCTAACATGCTTTAAAAATTTGTTTAAGATATTTTATTCGTATATACTCGCATTGAGAAGGTTGGAAACTTACTGACCACAATAAAGCCAGCTATAGTTGGCAAAATTATGTCACTAGTTCTAATGATAGGGTCTTATAAATCAACTGATAAACTGTTATCTCACTTCATTCATTAAACAATACACTAATGAATCTTTATTATGTACTTGGTACTACTTTAGGCCAGAGAATTCATTATTGAACCATGTGCAGGAAACAAGAGGATAACCCAGTTTTCTAAAATAAGGGCTAGAAAGGTGGCAGCGTGTAATACAGAGATAGCCTCTAGACCCAGAGGTTCTGGTTTTAAATTCTGACTTTACTACTCATTCGCTGTATGTTTTCGGCAAGTTACTTAACCTCTCCGTATTCAGTTTCCGCACAGTAAAGTGTAGATAATGACAGCACTACCTAACAAATAAGGTAGTTATAAAGGATTGAGGGAATTAACAGGAAAGCATTAAGAACAGTATGTAGCAAATACTATAATTATAGGTCTCTGTCACCATAAAATTTTCCTCTAAGGACTATTATACCCTGTGTTTTTCTACTTACATGTCTGTTACTCTCTACTGGACTGTGAACCACCACCCCCTTGCAGTGAGAGAGGTCCACCTTTGACTCAAATTTGCACGCCCAGATAGTGTCCAACAAATATTTGTTGAATGAATGAAAGTGCAGGGTTAAGAAACGTATAAACACATGCTACTTCAGTGTAAAGCAAGCCAGGATAAGAAATGAAGGGGAAAGTGAGTATCACTATCTGTAAAGCTTACTGGTAGATGGTTAGAACACAGTAATGTAGTCAATCTTAGGCATTAATTTTAGCTGCTAATAAAGTGTTCCCAGGACCACAGTCCTTAGAGAAGGGGTTGTGGCCAACTAGTGAACAACTACTAATTCCATCTCAGCAGTTCCCTTCTATGTCCATGAGCAAATTATTTCCACAGATAGGTAATTCTGTCTTGTTAAGAGGATAGGAAGCCTAGTCAAGTGTCTGAATGTTTGATTATGAAATGGGAAAGGATGTGTGTATTTGGTTCTTTTTGCTCTTTGCAACACTGCATTTGAAAAGCAGGAGGGTGGGAGATTCCTGCTGACTTTCCACAACGTTACAGTGTGAAGACAGGTTACTATTCTTTGCTTAGACATCTGGGCAGTCAGCCAAGATCCAAAGAAGGAATGTCTTTGCTCTTGGCAGGGCTCTAATGACCTTCCTGCAGATTCAGACGCTTGTGCATGTCTCAGTTGTCAAGCTTGAATAGAAGTGCTCCTTCTGTTATTCTACAGAAAAACCCATGTATTCGTTTTTTTTCTTTCTAATTTACATCTATTTCTGTAATATAAAAGACAAACTACCATTTAGATTCCTTCATACAGTTAATTCTTGCTGTCACTCCCAATTCCCACTTAAAAAAAATTGCTTTGAACAGCTTGCAAAAGATGGCCCCTTTTAAACTCAATGATTGTTCACATCCTCTCCTGAGGAGGAAAGAAGACTGAGTCACGTGAGACTGCTGTGAGTTTCAGGAAACCGACAGGAGTATTTTTTCTTATGGACATCTCTGTGTTCTCTGGTGCCCAGGTGACCTTCTGGGGGTGAGGCCTGGTTTTATCTACTGCGTAGCAAAACAACCTAAGAAATGGGGGCCCAGGATTCTCTCTGTGACTTTGGGAAAATCACTTAACCTCATCAGGCTACTTTTATTTTATTTATTTATTTTGAGAGAGAGACCGGGGCGAGGGGCGGGATAAGGAGGTTGGTGGTGGTGGTGGAGCGAGAATCCTAAATAGGCTCTGCCACTGTTAGCGTGCAATCACCAGGCTACCTTTTAAAATTAGATTAAATAATCTCCAAATTCCCTTCCAATCCTAGAATTCCAATATTCTGAATTGCAGGGAATAAAGCTATCAGGTAATATAAATGCTGATAAAATACTTCAGTTTGTATCTGCAGTATGAACTTGTATCTGCCTCCAGAACCTCAGCTACTGAAAATAAATTTTCAAAATAACTTGGTAATTGTACGGCACAATATGGTAAGGTGAAAAAAGCTGTAAGACCCTTGGGAGCACACCGGTGTATGACCTTGAGCAAATAATTCTTTGGGTTTCATTGAACACAATTTTAAGATTTGAAGTAGGGCAGATTTATCAAGATGAATTTAAAAGGTCCTATCCAGTTCTAAAATTATAAAGTCTCATGTTCTCTAAGTACCCTGCATTCTTGCTAAGATTATTAGGTCAGAGACCAAACCATTGTTTAAATGACTAATTATAAGTAAGAAACCGAGATTTAAGAGTTAGTAGCTACTAAGAATTAGTAGCTGTCACCACTGGCCCCTTATAAAGGTAGAGGAGGTAGTAATCCCCTTACATTGAAAATATGGCTTATCGGGTTCAGGAAAAATTCCAATTCATTTAAATACAGCGGAAATAATGGAGGAAGAACAACTTCAACTATAAATACAAGTACTGAAGAAATTTCTGATGTCAAATGTCACCTTCAAACAGCATGCAGATTATTTCTACGTCAGAGTTGCCTCACCTCCCCCTCCCCCCGCCTTGCAGCAGAGACAAAATATGGTGATCTAGGTACCCAGACCTTCACAAGATGGTTACATTGTGTAATATTAAAAGTAGTGGCTCTAGAATTCGTAACACACAGATCAGTGCTAGTGATGCCGCCACTGCACCACTTTCTGGTTTTACAAAAGATCAATGAACAGGTTTTAAATAACATTTTGTGAAATTAGATATGGCGGAAACACAGCTCTTGAAAACGTCGATTGTAATCTGGAGCACCTGGTAAGCACTATCTTTAACCAAGGGCTCTCTGCTTTCAAGGGCTTTGTGAGAAAAGCCTTTAAAAAACACTATGGGCTCAAGGAAGAAAAAGAGGCTAAGATCCAACACCCCTCCTCCCATATCATCCTTATCAAGCCCTATAATTGTGCTTTGGAGAAAACCCGCAGCTTCGTATTTTGCATCCCCGCCATGCAGCAGGACTGAGATCGCGCCTCTCCAGTGATGAACTTCTCTGGAGTCCTTGTAAGAGCCCCTAGGTGGAAATCAACCCCGTCCCAATTACTGGGTCACTGCGAAAGCCCCCAAAAGAGGATTCGAGGCTTTACTAAAGCCCTCCAAGGACAGTGCTTTGCACAGCCGTCCCCTCCCTCCCTCTCTCAACAAGTCCTTCAAGTGCAAGAAACCCCACACAAGGGCGCGAAGGTCGAAGGTAAGCAGGATGCAGGGGCCCACACTCACCATGATTAGGAACTACGCGAACAGTTTCAGCACCTGCAAGACGAGCCTCCGCGAATCCGGTCACCTCTACCGCAGAACGGACTTACGGAGGGCAAGCGATGTGAGAAAGAAAAGCTCCCAACCGCAGCGCCCTCTGGGAACTGTAGTTTATGCTGCCCAGATTCTGGCGCACTCTCCAACTCATTTCCTTCAAGTGTTGAACTACACTTCCCGAGGTCAGAGGGCCCACTCACTCCCTTCTCCCTGCGCTCTTCGCGGATTGCAAAGTAGTCCCTGAGGGCCGGCAGCTGTGATTGGAAGACAGCGATGAGCAGAAGATTTGTGCTTAAGGGAAAGGACCTGCCTGATGGCGCCCAGCAATTGGTGGGAGGGGAGGCATGTGGAACTTGAGGGAGGAGATACAGATCTGTTAGCTACATCCCCCGTACGTACGCATCTGAGGCTTATTTTATTCCCAAGGGTAAATGTGTGAAGCAAAGAGACCTTCCGCTGCGTAAATCGGATTGACCCGGAAACAAAATGTTTTTAAAAACTATTTGCACCCTGGAGGGGCGGGCTGAATTGACGTGTCGCGAAGACTGGAAGGCTTCGCAGGTTGCTAAGCGACGAGGCGGGAGAGCGCGCGCACGCACGGGCCGCTGGGGAGTACTTGAGGGGATTGTGGCTGCCGCAGCTCCGAAACGCTGGAGACAGAGCTAGCGTGCGTGGCCAGCACGGTCTCCTTCCTTACTTGCCAGGGGACGCTCCTCTGTGGCCGTGTCGGGTGACGAGGTGAGCAGTTTGTGGGGACGCTCCTTTGAGGTGGCCAGGGGCCGCACGTCTGCCCTACTCCAGAGGCTGGTGAGCCAGGGCCCGAGGGCTAGAGGTTTTCTGTTAACCTGAGGGTCCAGAATGCCGGGTAGGCGCCGGCCTGCTTTGCTTTTATCTACCCGGGCGCTTGCCTACTGGGCAGTGCCCGCGAGCTCGCCGGTGCCTCAGCGCTGAGTGTTAGGGCAGCAGCGTTCTGGAGGGCGTAGTGTCCTGAAGTTCGCGCCCCCTCCCCTGTGTATGATACAGCTCTTTTAAAGTTAAATAAAAAGTAGTGCTTGTCTTGTAGGATGTGAGCCCTTCCTCTCCTGGAGTTCACAGTTCACGGATCTTTTTCTCTAAGTCCTTGTGAATGTCGACTTTTGCCTATTTTTTGAAAACTGGCCTCTGTATAAGCCATCTTGACCTTTGAATTACGCCAAACCTGAATTTCTAAGGGACATGTAGTACTTGAATGGGAGACACTAGTTGTTTCAGGCAGTGTCTCGGCTGGTGTACAACTGGGATGTTTTGATTTAAAATTAATGCTGCCCAAGAGAATTGTTGTGCTCCCTGAAACCTTGTTTGATGTGGCTAGGGAAAGGAAGATGTGGTGCTCTGGAATGACGTATATGTAAAGAAAATGAATGCAGTATCTATATTAGATAACGTTGCTCTAACTTCTAGTTTTTCTCTATCACTGGTGATTGAATGCCAAGTGGTATCTTTCAGTTTTACTCTCTTCATTTTGGAGGGTTTGCTATTGTAGGAAAGAACTATAGCATTTTACTTTCCAGTTTGCTTTATCAGTATTACTTATCATAACTGAATGGTTCTCTCTTCTTTGAATCACTTTATTCACTTGTTATTCATATAACATACTTTCCTGGTTTTCCTTTTATGTCACTGGTTGTCTCTTCTTAGGTTTCTTTGCATGTTTTTTGCCTTTGACTTCTTAACATTGCAGTGCCTTTGCTCTTCTATCTACAGTTAATCCCTAAGTGATCTACGTCCTGAGTTGCATGGTTACAAATGTCAAATGCGTAGTTACTTCTGTGTCAAAAGATTCCCAAGTTGGTGTTTTGTCCTGAATTCCAGATTCTATGTTGAACTGCTTACTCGTTATTTCCACTTGATTTCCTAATCATGTCACTATTTTCCACTATTTTACAGTGTAAAATAGTGCTATTTTACAGCATCATTTTCACTATTTTACAGTGTTTTCTACTGAGCAATTGTATATGGAGGTTAAAACACCAAGCCCTTTGATATAGATAAAATGACCTTGGATTTCTCTAGTTCTAAGATGTTGGTTGTGAATTGGATTATGAGATTTCAAATGGTAGAGTAGTAAAGAGCTGGGATTGGTTAGATGAAAACTGGTGTGGGGCGCTTGGGTGGCTCAGTCGGTGAAGTGTCCAACTTCTGCTCAGGTCATGATCTCATGGTTTGTGGGTTCGGGCCCCACATAAGGCTCTGCACTGATGGTGTAGAGCTTGTTTAGGATTCTCTCTCTCCCTCTGTCTCTGCCCCTAACCCCCCTTGTGCTCACTCAAAATAAACAAACTTAAAAAAAAAATTGGCCAGGAAAATGTAGGGCAAGGGTTTTAGGATATGGCACCCTATTAAGCTCTGAGAATTCAGAGATTAATATGATACAATTGCTGCCTTTTTGGAGCCCCCATAATAGCAGGGAATACAATTATGTAAATGACAACGTGGTGTGGCCTAGTTAGTGATAAAGAGTTAGCAACTATGGGGTGCCAGGACTTCACAAAGGAGGTGCTACCTGAATGAAGGCAAATGGACGTTTTTGCCAGGCAGCTAAGATAAGAGGTAGAACCACATTTACTGTTTTATAGGTAGGGTTTTGGTTTGGTGGTAAGAGAGCTGCTTTAAGTTCCTGATTTTTTTTTTTTTTTAACCGAGGCTCCAGAAATGTGTTACCCAAGACTATAGCTGTGAATCACGCAGCTATTAAATTTAAATTAGTTAAAATTAAATATAAAATTAAAAGTCCAGTTCCTTAGTCACACTAGTTAGATTTCAAGTGTCCAAAAGCCACTTGGGACAGAATATTGAACATTTTCATTATCACAGGAAGTTCTTTTGCACAGCTGTTGGAAGTTAGTGGAAGCAAGGCATCACCCAGAACAGGAACAGCTGCAACATATCTTTGTGGGTTGTTTCTTTTGCCCCTGAGTGTAGAATGGAGTGCATAGCTGTCTGTGCTACTGACTGCACAGGAAGTGTACTGTCAGAGGCAAGAAACTCAATTCTGGTCTTAACCATCGCCTTTCTATTTTGGAAGAACTTCAACAGTCTTGGTGTGTGTCTGTTTGAAAGAATGTTTCCAAACACTGCATTGTCCTGGAGCTTGAAGGGACTTAGCAAGCCCACAGAAGGGGTTGAGAAAGCATTGTCATTGTCTTGATGACACCAAACAACATCTGCCTGCTGCTCTTTACTATTTTAGAATGCCTGTGTTCCTGCCACATTCTGAGTAGATGGAAGAGTACCTCCCACATATGGAAGTATGAAATAGATTGGCAGGTTCAGACCCCACCAATAATGGGGGTTAGGAGAGAAAGGAGCCCAGTTGGGATATCTTTATACTTTAATGTGTACAACAAGTGCATGTTCATACATGCTTTTAATGAATTGTCATATGTTTTGTTTGGATATATTTGTTTTCTAGGACTTAGGTCTTTTATGAGTTTTTCCTATTACATGTCCAGCTGGTTTTATAATTTTTTATATTTTCAGATTGGGTTAAACAAACATGCTTTTCGTAAATCAAATTTTACAATACTTGTGAAATTTCTAAGGAAGGAGAAAGAAGAGAGACATCACTGGACAGTGGCTTGAGGGTGCTTTAAATGTATGGGTAGGTGGAGAAAATATTGGGAATTCATTTTATTTGTTCAACTGTACTCATCACCCAGTTTAACAAAGAATATTACCAATCCCTTCCCAGAGATCATGTGCTTCCCAGAGGTCATGTGCTGACACACATGCACACTCTTGAGTATATAGGTATATTTTGTAGTTATAAAAAGGAAGTTTTTTTATTTAAAAAAATCAACTAATGCCTTTTCTTTTTGAAGTTTATGTATACATTTTGATAGAGAGAGCGTGTGTGAGTTGGGGAGGGGCAGAAGGAGAGGGAGAGAGAGAGAGAGTCGCAGGCAGGCTCCACACTGTCAGTGCAGAGCCTGATGCAGGGCTTGAACTCATGAACCATGAGATTATGACTTGAGCTAAATCAAGTTGGATGCTTAACTGACTGAGCCACTCAGGTGCCCCAAATAATGCTTTTTCTTATCCTGTACTAACTAGAGATTATGAAATCGTGTCTTATGTTACTGCTAATAGCTTTACATGTAAAAAAAAAAAATGTAAGCACAGACATATCTACATTTTGTCATAAATATGTCCAAAGACATATACTTATGCCTATGTTTGAAGAAATTAAGACATACAAAAAGACTGCAATGGATCAGTTTATGACTCATAAGAGATAGGAAAGAGTGGGAAGAGCTAGGCCTTGGACAGTATGTTGAAGTATGGGCAGAGCAGGGACAGGAGAGTAGGCCAAAAAGAAAACAATTGAATGTGAAGAATTAACATATTGAAGTGAAGGTTAAATGGGAGGAAAAAAATAACATATTAATTTGCATTTTATGTCTTTTTTTAAAAGTTTTTTTTAATGTTTGTTTATTTTTGAGAGAGAGAGAGAGAGAGAGAGCGCGTGCGCGAGCCAGAATGTGAGTGGGGGTGGGGCAGAAAGAGTGAGACACAGGATCTGAAGCAGACTCCAGGCTCTAAGCTGTCAGCACAGAGCCTGACTTGGGGCTCGAACTGACAGACTGTGAGATCATGACCTGAACTAAAGTCATATGCTTAACCGACTGAGCCAGCTGGGTGCCCCTTATGTCTTGTACTTTAGCCAGTCTTCTTGCTGTTGCTAAAACATGTCCTTTGGAGCTGAGAGGTAGTAAATTGCTAACTGACGCACCCCTATACCCACACCTAATTTCTACAATTGTTAAGTGTTTTTTTTTATATTTACTTTATCATGTTTCTATACATCTCTTCATGTGAAGTCTTTTTTGATTCCTCAGTCTGATCACTCTTTGTTTTAAATTTTGAATTTAAAAATTATCTGCAAAACTAATCAATGGTGGGGAAAAAATTCACCAACAGTGGTTCCCTCTAAGTGGGAGTTGGGGTGGAGATTGACTGCAAATGGGCAAGAAGGAACTTTTTAGGTGACAGTAATTTGCTATATC